AAACAGATTAGACCCAGAGAGCACAAAGTATTTTTCCTTTTTTTTTTTTTTTTTAAAGCAAGCATGAACTGCAACACAGAGACAAAACTGAGCACGGGTGACATTAAGCACCGCTCTGCCAGATGCAGCTTGCACAGACAGATGAACGGCCAAGACGATTCCTCTGCCTGTGACTGGCAAGGAGCCAGGCACTAATATTTATGATGTATCATGCTCTCTCGCCCTTTCACCAAGCGCTTTGTCCTGGCTGCCATGTGGGGGTGGAGGAATCGCGTGTTCTCTTAGGCACAAACTGCTTTGGTGGGGTCCAGCTGGAAATGTGGGAAAAGGCTGAGCATGTTTTGCTCGGCGAGAGACTTTTCTAACTTTGCCGTACTGTATATTACTCTCTGCTACGTTCACCACCGGCTCTTCGAGCCAGGGTGCATAAAGGAGAGTTACACTGCTCAAAGCGGAGATGATCTCCATTAGCAGTGACAGCTTTATGGCACGGGCTGGCCCCATTTAACGCTTGTAATGTTTTACTGCAGGCTCGCACCAGCAGCTGCAGCAGGGCTGCTGTCCGGGCTTGGCTCAAACCCTCCCACCAGCCGCATCCAGAGGAGAAAGACCAGCTTAAGGGATGCGCGACCCCACAGCAGGGTCTGCTGCGGTGCTGGACACCAGGAGAGAACGCCAGCAGCAGTGCCCAAGCTGCCTTGCACCAGGGCTCAGCTGCCAAAAAGAGGGAGAATCAAGGTTTAAATTGCAGAGCAGGACTGCAGAGATGCCATGCAGATGCCCCCTCGTGCAGTCACCCCCTCCTTCCCCGAGAGCCTCAGCCCAGCAACGGGGCCCCATGGCACAGCGGGGACAGAGTGGGGTGGGAGCAGGCGGCTGTGCAGCGAGCTAGACCACCCCAGTGACACGCCGTATGAGCCTTGGGAGCAAATTGCTCGTCTCACAAGAGTCAGGCAGGAGCGGCTGGGGAGGGGCACAGGGAGGAGAAGCACTGCTTTGGCCAACCCAGCCAGGGCTCCAGGGATGCTCCACAGCATGCAACCCTGCGGCGGCCATTACCCCTCAGGCACCTCTTGACCCGCAGCCACTGCTCAGAGCAGCCAACGGACGGGCAGCCTTGAGCCTGCCTGTAGGCCAGGACTACTTTCCCCTAGCCTGAGTCTGAGGGGACGGCCTGCAAGAGACTTAAACGGTGCATTTAAAACTACAGGAAAGGGGATGGATGGAGGGTCAGGACGACAGGAGCTGCAAATGCCGGAGCCTGCACAGGGCCTGGGGGAAGCTGCCAAGCACATAAGCACAGGCTTAAGTGGGCACAACTCCCCTGGCTGCTCTGGGAATGCCAGCTGCTGGCTGGAAACCCGACAGAAGCAGAGGAGATCCCCTTCTTGGCTATTTGCCTTGTCCTGCTCTGGCACCTTTGCCACCAGCGAGCTGCTGCCTCTGTGGTGCCAGAGGCAGGCCCGGCCGAGGCGGCGGGAAAAAAAGGTATAGACGACACCAACCCCCTCCATGAGCAGCTGGGGCATCCACAGGTCATCCAGTGATGGCCAAAAGCAGTCTCCGGAGTATGACAT